AAGCCAATGCAGCACATACTTAATGCTTCGGCAGGTACGCCTCCTCCGCCTCTAGGTATTCGGGCAGCCGCTGCAGACGGAACACCTCCTTGACGGGCGCAATCGCCTTCTCCACCACCGCCACCGACTCCTGCTCCTGTATCACCCGCGTCGTCGCCTGCATCGCGGTGATACAGGAGCGCAGGTTGTGGTTCGCCCAGATGACGCTGCTAATCCCGATGTCGCGGAAGTGCGCACACGGCACGCCGGCGTAGTTGGTGGGCACAATAACGACCGGCGCCTTGCCGTAGTCCCAGTGGGCCATGAAGGCGTCGATGTCGGCCGAGTCCTTCCGCTTGCTGTGCACAAGCACCGCGTCGGCGCCGGCCTCTGCGTACGCCGTGGCGCGCCGCAGCGCCTCCTCCACCGGCCAGCCGGCGATGAACGACTCGACGCGCGCGACGACGCAGAAGTTGTCGTCCGTCTGTGTGTCCTTCATGGCGCGTATCTTCAGCGCGAACTCCTGCACGTCAGCGAGCGGCTGTGCCTTGCTCTTGTCGAGCAGGCTGTTGGTCTTGGGGAAGAGCTTGTCCTCCACGCAGGCGCCGGCCACGCCGATCTTCTCTAGCTTGCGCACCAGCAGTCGCGCNTTGTCCTCCACGCAGGCGCCGGCCACGCCGATCTTCTCTAGCTTGCGCACCAGCAGTCGCGCGTTGTTGAAGTTGCCGTATCCGGTGTCGGCGTCCAGCAGGATGGGGACGTGCGTCGCGTCGCTCATGCACTCCGCCACGCCGCACACCTGCGTCCAGCTCGCCTCGTTGTTGTCGCGGAAGCCCAACTGCGCGGAGATTGACAGACCGGATGCCCAAATGGCCTTGAAGCCCGCCTCCTCCACGATGCGTGCGGAGAGGCCGTTGTGCGCCTCCATCAGAAAGGACAGCTCCTTGGAGCGCAGCAACGACTTGAGCGCCTTCGCCTTCTGCGGCAGCCCGCTGCAGTGACGCATTTGTGATGCGGCGGTGTGTGTTCTCCTTCCGTATTCTTGTTTTTTTATCTGCTTGGCAGTGGCGATTGCCGCTAAGAACAGGACATCGCAACAACAACAACAGAGGAGGTGGAGGAGAAGCCACTCACGACAGTGCGGCAGGGGCACACGCAGAACAGGACCGGTGCGGAGTGAGAAGCAGCGGACTGTGGGCACGCATGTGTGTATGGCTGTATGGGATGTATGCATGCCGTGAAGGCAAACAAAAAAAAAAAATAATGAGAGTGGAATTGTAGCATCTATGCTCAGCGCAAGTGATCCACACGCGTCGTTATTGTCCTCTTCATTCCTGCCGTCCTTCTTGCCGACGGCTCCTTCTTGTTGTTGTTGCTGTTTTTTTTTTTT